TGTTTGAAAAGATTTTAAAAGCTTTCGTGTTGCGAATCTCAATCATTTATTCTGTTGGATTCTCTGAAGAATTCTGACCTTGTGGAGGTATTTCCTTTTCTCTCAACTCAGAGCCACCGAGCAGACCGTGCAGGTCTACCCCCCGCTGGCCGAAGCTGCAGAGGGGCTGGGCTTCGGAGTCAGTCAATAACCGAACAGTACGGGGGCCACTGAACAGCCCAGACCCGGGGTGGGGGGGGGGTGCTACATTTAGATGACTTATTCTGGCATTATTCTCCTCTCCTCTTTGAACCTCAACTTTATACTTAGTAATAGAAAATTAATTTCTAAACTCCTCGATTCTGACTAGATTTTGAACTGCCAGCATACTTTAACTCTCAGGTATATTTAAATATGATAACACATTAAGCCTTTTATAAGATATAACAAGTCAAGTAACATGCACAATGACAAGAGTCCAGCAACAGAATTACTAATTACTAATCACCTATTAGTGTTAATTCAAACTCTCAGAATGAGAACTCAAATATCTAGTTTGTCTGCCAAAAATCCAACCACATCTGAAGAAATATTTATGCCATGTGTTTAATGGAGGAAGTCACAACACTAAAACACAAACAAGTATTTGACTCTACAGATATATTTTATCCCACCTAAAGTATTTATAATGGGTTAAATCAAATTTGGATGAATGAAAAACAATTGTTTGCTGATCTGTATCACCATTCACAGTGAGGATACTGAATGTCCCGGGTCGCCACCAGTCCTGCCTTCACTCACTCGGCATTCATCAGTGCCTCCTGAACCAGGCTCTACACATGATCCCGGAGCTTTAGAAACGAACATTTAACAAGGACTGTCTTCAGGGAACCCATGTCCAGGTCTTCACTGCATTTGGAAATGGCTAAACACCTTTTACTAGTTAAATAAAAACATTTATCAACCAGAAATACAAATTAATCTTCATATCAAGAGCCTAGCACTTGTAGTTTTATCATATGGACTTTGGGGGTTGGCTCATTCCACCAACTGAGCAAGAACAAAACTCATGGTGGCAAACGCCAGCCCATGTAGGGCTCTCGTCCCATTCCTAGACTTCCGCTGCCACGTCCCCACACTCTGATTAACCGTGATCCATGTCAGTTAAAATCACTATGCTCAAACCCCATTTCTAGCTTCTTGCATTACTTGTGTTCTCAGTTCAATTCAGGAACATTCTATCCTTCCAGGCTCATACTGCCATGCTACCAGGTGCTCAGTTTTCTAGACACTAGCAGTACAGAAAATAACAAGAGCTTACATTCCAAAGGGGGTAAGCAGAAAACAAACAAGTGAAAAAATTAAAAGATGACCTCAGAGAGTGAGATGAGCTTTGAAGACAATGGGGAAAGGCGAGATGGTAGAGGTACAAGACTTCAGACAGAGAGGTCAGGGAAGGAACCTGAGAAGTGCAGTGTGATGAGGAGGATGGGGGCCACAAGAAAATCATGGAGAAGAGCATTCTAGGCAGATGGGTGGCAGGTGCATAGGCCTGGAGGCAGGAGAGGGCAATGTCTTCAGTGGCTGGATCCTTGCAGCCACGGGGAGAGGGTGGGCCTGGTGGTTCCACTCACACCTCCTCTCCCAGATCACAAGCCATCAATTACCCATGGTTCCTTGCATTGTTAAGCTCTGCCTCTCCATCAGTTCCCACTCCTGTATTTCATTGTCAGCCTAATGATATATTCTCCTTAACTCCTGCTGCTCTTTGAAACTCCGCCTTCCTTCTAATATCAGATTTTCCCAAACAAGAGTCTGCACTAGCCCCGCTTCCTCACTCCCCTCACTCACCTTGCAACCACGTCTCTGTCCACACTATCACTTTCCGTGCTCTGTCCAAGATCATCACTACTTCTCCGTTTCAACTCCTGTGACCTTTCCTCCACCCTTACCCCTCCTGATTTTCTGTCACATTCTTGACAATCATCCTTTCTAAATATTCTCTTCCTTTATTTCCATGAAAACACATTCTTCTCAGATTCCTCTTACCTTGCTGACCCTTCCTTGACTGTTTCCTCCCTGACTCTGAACGAACGTCCCTCCTTCACGGCTGTTTTCTCTCCATGTTCCCTCTCCGGAGGACACTCCGGCGGCATCTGCAGTCCTGCCTTCTCTGTGGCTACCTACAAACGTCCCCTCGGTAGAAATGAGCATCACAGCTGGGTGTCGTGGTGGCACTTCAAACTCAACGTGTTTGTAACTGAACTCGTCTTTTCCTTCCGCACACCAGAGCTCTCCCACATGCCCACTGATCAGGGCTGATTCATGACCATTCGGTCAGTGCCGTTTCTCAAGCATCTCCTCTGGCTTCTCGCTGCTGCGTCTGACCTTCTACACCTCTCCGTGCCCCAGGGCCTCTCACCTCCATTCGTCCCACCCCCACCGACCTCTGCTGCGTGGCAGCTGGTCAGCACTGACAGATTTTCCTAATAATCACTTGGCTATTGACACTTCATTACCTAAAAACCTTTAGTAGCTTCTCACTGTTTACCCAGTGAAGCTAAAATACTTATCCTAGCTTTGAAGACTTCCAATGCTTTTTAGCCTGGTCACGAGCCCCTCTCCCGTATTCATGTCTATGCCATATCCCCGGTCCTGCTTGCTCTTCTGTCGTTACCCCTTTGCCTTAGAATGCCATCTTGCATGTCTACTCGTCCAAACCTGGCATATTACTTACGTTTAGTTCAAGTGGCATCGCTTCTAGCTAACCTTCACTGATTGCCCTAACAGGAAATAATTCTCCCCCAATTCGCACTCGACCTTGCATCACAATTATGTGTGTCTTGTCACTGTTTTTAAAATGTCCTTGAAGACAGTGCCTCTTTTTTCTGTGTGTCCCCACAGGGCCTGGGTTAACGCCTTTCCGAGATATAGAAACTCTTCCAGAAACATTTGCCAAATGAATTACCCAGGGTTTCTAATACTATTATTTTATTATCTGTAAACTGTCAGTAACACATATTAAACCTATATTTAAAATTCTCCATCTATTAAAAAGAAACATTTAAAATGTGAATATACAATGCAGAAAAATCAAGGCCGACTAGGTTTCTGAGTTGGCTTTGGCGTACCCACTTGCGTAACGCGAGCTGCAGCGAGCGGTCCGTGCGGCTGCAGCACATTTATTCGGACGGGCCCCGAGCTGAGCCCGATGACTGAGGCCAAGCTGAGGTGAGCGACATTACAGAAAGGCGAGTGCAGCACCGCGTTCCCTCTCCATTAGACTCTTCTGTTGGCTATTGTCAGAGGATTGAAACTGTTCCTTATGGGAAAATGCCCCTATTTCCTGAAACTATATATTTTAGCATCGAAATATTATCATTTTGTACTGCTCAGAGGGAATGATCACTAACACCTCACTCGGATGGACAAAAGGCGTCTCAGCTGGAACATGTCCTGAGCGGCCCCACCTGTTGCCCTTGCAGTCTCCTTCCTCTTGTCCACTGGCTCCAGCAAGTCACCTGGGAACACTCTTGACTTCTCTCGGTCCCTCTTCCCACCCCCACCCCCCATCTGAACCAACAAGAAATCTGGCCAGCTGTACCTGCAGAACATTACCCAAATCTGATCCGTTTTCCCCACCTTCACTGCTCCTGCCTGAGGCCCAAGCCTCCATCGTCTGTCGTCTAAATTCTTGCAATAGCTTCTCAACCACTTTCCCTACGTCCCTCTTTGCCCTCTATTCGGACTGTTCTCAGCACCACAATTATGCGGGCAGAGAGATCCTTTCTCATGTGAGTCAGATCGCGTCGCTCCTCCGCTCCAAACCTGCCAAGCCTCCTGTGCTCACGGAGAGGCAGGGCAAAGCCCTTTCGAAGGCCTAGTCACACCTCCAGGACCCCGTCCACCTCTGAGGTTTCTTGCCTGACCCCATCTCCTCCTCCTCTGCCCCACCTCCCCCTCGCTCATCATTTCCAGCTACACGGGCCTCCATGCTGTTCCTCCAGGAAGCCAGGCTCCCTCCCGCCTCTTTAGAGACTTGTCCTATGTGTTTCTGGGTTCAGAGTTGTGCTGCCGAGGGCAGCGTTGGCCGAGATGAGACTCTCAGATAAATGCAAGTACTATAAAGTAAGCACCGTAGGGTCCCGCCCATGTGAAACCAACGGAGTAGTGCCGAGCACGCTGTTGTATATGCCATGAAGGTTTAAAGTGATTTAGAGATGAAGAAGAAGAAAGGAAAAAAATTAAACGGAATTAGAAGATTCTTCAACTACACTTTTCCAGTTTCTTTATCCCAAGATACAGATTGGTCTTAAGAAACTCAAGGGACAATTTACATTTGTTATGCTTAAGAACAATTCTCATTTACTACCCAATTAGAATATTTACACTTTTCTAAAACATCAAAAGAAAGATTATTTGAGATTGTTCCTGGAATATAAGTCAACCCTAAATTTTAAACATCCTATTGACATATATTTAAAAAATATGTATTTTTAAAGAAGCTTTTCTTATCTGAAATATCAATCTGGGAAAATATGTCGCCATATATGTTACACTTATAAAAACTAAAATTTAGAAATAATTATTAGAAAATCTAGAAAAGTCTGAAACTTAGTCTTAACCTAAAAAAAATCCAGGGATGTCTGACAATATTATAACATTGTTTTATCACAACATGTATTTAATTAATACAGAATGGGCTAGTCCATACAATCCCTTCAGTGAAAGTCAGTATTATTTTAGTGGTGCTTTGACATACAGCAAGATACTTAAATAGCTCACTTGAACAGTTTACAAGTTCGAAAAGCAATTCTATGTCCACCACCTTCTAGAGATTGAATGTAAGGGTTGTGGCCGTGGGATTCAAATGAGGGTTTCAAGGGCCTATAAAGAGCTGAGGTGGAGCCCTGGCAGGTTTGGCTCAGTGGTTGGAGCATCGGCCTGCGGACCAGAGAGTCCTGGTTCGGTTCCCGCTAGGGGCACGTACCAAAAAAAAAGAGCTGAGTTGGACACCTTACCTTCTCCAGCGTCATCTCGGTCTCGGCTGCGTGAGTCTTTTTCAGCTCTATCTTCATCTTCTCGGACTCGGCCTTGAGCTTGCTGACAGCAGCCTCGTGGTCCCTCACAGCCCTCTGCTTCTCCTCCTCCCGGAGAAGGCCGAGCTCCACCAGCTGCTGCTTCCGCTGCGAGTTCACACTGATCAGCTCTTCTCTCAGCTTGTGCACTTGGGCCTCCATGTCAGCAATAACCTAGTTTTGAAAAATGAAAAAATGGGCAAGGCTGTGAATAGGAAAGTCGTAAGAGAATAGCAAAAGACTAAAAAAATACAAAACTGTCCACTTCCTGCCTTTCTTCTACCTCCTGCCCTACCCCTTGCCTTCCTGCCTGCCTTCTCTCGTTCCCCAGTCCCGGGCCATCCTGGCAGACCTGGCTGCCTAGAACATTTGATCACATCTACCGTATTTGGTTGTACTTGTTTCAAATATCTATGTGAATGGAGTAGTATAGGTATTATTCTGCAACTTGCTTTTTCAAATATTCAACACTGAGATTCATCTAGTACTTGCTATTGTATTTTTGTTTTTATTTCATTGTTTTCTGTTCTTATTTTTATGTCCTTTGTTTGACAGTCTTGGGTTTATTTCCTGTCCCATCTTCTAATTTCTTATTTTGGATATTTAACTCATTTATTTTTATCCTTTCTTCTTTTTTGATTTATAAACTTACAACTCTAAATACTCCTCTAATTACTGTTTTCATTTAATCACTTAGGTTTAGATATATGGTATTTTTATTAACATTTAGTTCAAAACATTTTTAAATTTCCATTATCATTTTTTTGACTTATGAATCATTTGGAAGTAGGATTTTAAATCTCAGACACACGGGTACATAGTTTTCCAGGGCTGTCATAACAGAGTGCCATGACAGGTGGCTGAGGACAGCAGACATTCCTTCTCCCAGCTCCGGAGGCTACGAGTCAGAAATCGAGGTGTTGGCAGAGCTGGTTCCTCTGAGGTTCTGAGGGGAACCTGTTCCACACCTCTCTCCTCGCCTCTGGTGTCTGCTGTAACCCGGGCATTCCTTGGTTTGCGGACACATCACCCCAGTCTCTGCCTCCATCTTGACGTGGCTTGCTTTGTGCGTCTGGTCCACATTTCCTTTTCTCGTAAGGACATTGGTCATCTTTGATTTAGGGCCCACCCACATCTAGCATGACCTTATTTCAACTTGATTACATCTGCAAAGACCCTTCTTCCAAATAGGACCACATTCCCAGGTTCGGAGTGGATTTGAAATTGCAGGGAGGGAGCCACCAATCAATTTAGGACATGGGCCTCATGCATCTTCAAGTTTTAGATATCCATCTTATAAATAGCATACATATTTCAAATTTTCCTTTTTAAATCTAATCAACTTTTGTGTTTTAAATGGAGCATTTAGTCCAATTTAGTTGATTACTTTATATTTGCTACATACCTGACTTTGTTTCCCTTATTTTGTGCCATTTGCCCTCTCTTGCATATTTTTTTTCTCCCTTTTTTTTTTTACAGTAAACAGATAATTTTTTTCTTCTTCAACTTTCTTTTCCTTTCTGGTTCAGAAGTGATACTCTGTGCTTCCTTTCATTGCTAACAGTGTTCTTTAAATTTTTTGATCTAGCCTTTTAGTTCTTTTCTGAGGGAAGCTGGCCAGGAGCCTCATCTGCCTCGCCCCCAGGAGGACAGCTCACTGAGGGAACCTGTGGTTACGATATGATTACTGTCGAGGCATTTTCTGAAACACGATCATTCTTTATGCATGATGTACTTTCAGCAAGCACTGCACAAGCAATCCTTCGCTCGCTGGGAACCAGGACATCCCAAAGCGGCAGTGATGGCAAAGCCACAACAGGAATGCAAGGTAACCGACGAGAAGTTGCTTTAATAGTCAAAATACCTACAGTAAGTGATTACCCTCATTTTCAGAAAAAATCCTGTACTCATTCTGTTTTAAATATTAACATTTTTTTCATGATACCTAATAACTGCTAGCGTTTTAAGTATTTACTTTGCAAGGGCTTCATTAGTTTATATAATGTTTATAATAACTCAATATGATAGGTATTATTAATATACAAAGATTTTCCTTATTTGGGTTGTGGTCAGTACACACTAGTTCAACTATTGATCCTGTTTCCTATCAGCATTAGACGGGAAGAGACATGAGGTACAGATAGCGGCTAAATGCATTATGTTGGAAGAGGAGAAAGGACTTGATATAACAAATATGAGCCCTGGAGACTAGAGGTTATGGGGCTCCATTTGTATTCTGCCTCTCTATTAAAACTGATTGAAAATAGGTAGTCCCAGGGGAATGTGCAAGAGGACTTACATAAAAGATGGATTCTCATAAAAGTGAAGTAAAGAAGATTAAAAGATGCATTGATATTTGTATATTGATATACAGCTATAGACCAATTATTCTGAAAACAAAGTCTCTTGCCTTCTACTCACTGATTTATGCTTCCTCCCCTTGAAACTCAATACTTGAGCATAATGAGAGAAGAGATGGTCAATTTAATCCCATTGTGAAATAGATGAGAAACCTTCAAAGAGTATATAGACTTAGGCAGGGACAACAATTGTGTTTCTAGGGGTTAAAATAGTATTTTAAAAAATGCTCAGTGATATCAAGATGGTAGATATCGGTGATGTCAGGATGGGCTGCTAACTTTGTTCTCAAAATTAACCATGGAGAAATCACAGGAAGCATGAATCTGAGATACTACTAATGAAGACAACAACAATAACAATGATAACAGAAACAAACTCACAGGAGGTCCTGGGGAGGAAGAACAGAGGCTGACCTGCCCCGAAGGCTATGTGTTCAAGGAAAGGAGGTGCAGCCTGGGGAGAAAACCAGGAAGCAGCTGTAAGAAGGGAGAAGGGTGGTGGTAGAATCTTACTGTTCTCGCTTCTCTTTTGTTGCCAGGCAACAACCTTATCTGTCCCATCGCCATGTTAGAAGCAAGAATGCAGCATCGCGTTGCTGCGATTTGGGTCATGCCAAGGCAAGCACCGCCTGCTGGGGTGAGGAGCTGAGAAAAGTGGACCTATCAGGACTTCCTGAGCTCTCACTCTGCCGGCCCCCCAAACTCCCGCTCTTTCATGCACAACTGTATAACTCACTGCTTGTTAGGGTCGATGACGTGGAAGCCATCATGATGAGTGGCTTCCAGAAAAACATTTTCCTAGGAGAGTTTAGACTATAAATCATAAGCTACACACACACACACACACACACACACACACACACACACACACACCATAAGAGAAGGCAAAGTGCCATACGATTGAAGAAGAAGAGCAGTTACTTTGAGCTAGGAAGGATTCTGGCAAACTGAATAAAACCGAATACATCTGAGATGGACCTTACGAGATATACTGGGACCAGGTGAGGACAGGGAAAGACACACGGCATTTCAGGCAGAAAGAGTGAGCGGCATGGAAGAAAAGAAAGAACATTCAAGAGGAATAAGGGAAACTCAGAAAGGGGAGAATGGTGCAGATATTGAAGGATTTTGCATGTTAAGCTACAGGGTTTGGATTTCAAGTCGCTGGAGAATCCATGGAGATATCTAAATTGGCTGCTGGAGACGGGTACGTGGGGGTAGTGAGCCAAGTAACGCCTCTGGATTTGTACCAAGAGAGATTAACCTGGAGGCAGTGTACATGATGGATTAGCCACACTCTGGAGATAAGAAGGCCAACAGTGGAGGAAAGAGTGGAACGAATGGATGGAAATACAATTTTAGAAGTAAAACTGAAAGGACTGAACAACTAAATGCTTGCTGAGGGCCAGGTAGAGTGAGAAATATGGTGATCTAGGATCTTTATTTCAAGCCGTTCAGCAGATCAGATATCCTGAGACGCCCTCGAGAGATGAAATAGCTGGACTCTGTATAAATACAATTGTTTCTCTTTCTTTGCTCATAGGAAGAGACACATCCATAGGAAAAAGTGAGACACAAATCATACACATGTACAACTGCCTGTGCCAGAAACGAGGTAATGAGCAGTGAGCTCACTCAGAAGGCAAGGCATCTGTGATGGCGAATGTCCTTGTCTGCAGGGCGACTTCCAGGGAGAACGTGGGAGCTGAGCGTGTGACCGTGGGTTACGTCCGAGAGCCTGGAACAGGCCTAACGTGGTTCCAGTCAGGACCGACGTCAACACCCACCTGAAGCGAAAACAAGTTTCTTCTGCAGAAAAGCTACTACAGTTTGATGTCTCCACGTTTCCCAGAAATTAAGATAAACCAAAAATGAGATCATATTAAAAAATTACTAAGTCCAGGAAAAAACCACCACTGATAAGAGTCAACGCAAACAGATTTCCCTGGCAAGCACTTCAGATATGAGAATTATCAGAAAAAGAATATAAAATAAACATGTAGTAAATATTTAAAGAAACAAAGGACGGAATCATAAAATGAATAAATCCAGGGGAGATGAAGCAAAAATACCAGGTTTGAGGAAAGAACCAACAAAGCAGTTTAAACAAAGCAGAAGCAAGAACTGGCGAAACAGAAGAGGTTTTTATAAACTATCCACAATGCAGCACAGTAAAGCGGAAGATAAGACCTGTAAGTGCGATGTTTAAGGCTATGCAAGGTGAAATAAGGAGATCTCATGTATATGTAGAGTGCCAACGGAGAGGAGGGAAGATAAGGAAGATATAAAAATACAATGAATGAAAAATTTCCAGAACTGAGGGAAAGACCCTACAGAAATGGGAAGCAGAATTATCCAGCAGAATGAAAGAAAGAAAGACTAGGTAATGAAATGGCAGACCACCAAAGACTAAGAAAAACTTAAAAGCAGACAAAGCGGGGGAACAACAGATACATTCAGTTATGACATCCCAGGAGCACCTGGCACACAGACTCTGGTTTCGGGTACCACTCTCCCACAAGGAGTGAGTGGGCCCTGGACAAGTGACTGGTTCTAGGAATGGGCAGGAAATATGTAAGATGAGCCTGGAGCACCCATTTTGCTCATTGTGAGGAAGTGCTCATCGGTGAAGGTACATTAAAGGGACAAAAGACCCACTGAAAGAGCTCCTGATGGCCAAAGCTGGGACAATTTTAGAAACAAATATTGGGCTATATCCAATAAAGAATAAAATAAATCTCCATGAATACCTACGGATGTAAATTATTTAACAAATTAATGAGGGGAAAAAAGACAAATCTTTCTTATAGAAGA